ACATATAAATTTTCGATATTACATATTACATTATAATTAATATATTATATTATGTTTATTGCTGATAATTAAGAGATTGTTGAATAAATACCCAATCAATTTTTTCTACGTTATTCTCTCTTATGCTCAGTCCAGTGATATTAACAGTATTGTTTCGCATCTCGGTAATAGGTAACATGGATGAATCCTACAATTTAATGGAATAATTATTTTAAAAACTATTTATGCTATATAACTATTTGTTTTATAGCATCGGAGATGCACAAGAATAACATATAGTATTATGCTTTATTTATTTTATTTAATTTTCCTTAAATGTAATTTAAAAAATTTTAATTTATAATCTTTTAATCATCAATCTTTTCAGCTTTAAAATATAAAATACGCATTCGAAAGTTGTTATTGAAATAAAACGTAATACGATACCAAATATGTAATAACGAAGTTGCAATAATCTGCTAGTAAATTGACTTCCTTTGCCTGACGGAGTACTTTCATGATATTTTCCGGCTTAACATCGATAATTATATTGCACACTGGTAAATGACGTATCTTTTTAAGCATTGAGCGATAATCCGGTCCTTCATTAAGCTTCCATACTGTATGTATAATCGGATCCTTGTTGTATCTTTTTAAAGTCAAAGTTTTCTGAAGACGTGACAGTCCTTCGTCAGTTTCGTAAATCGCTACGAATTTTTGCCATTTCATTGAATCAATGACCTCAGCGATAGCCTATAGTTTTGTCGATCAAAAATATATTTCAAAAATGATAAAAATGTGTTTCAAATGTGCAACGTAATGTTAAAGTCACGATTTAACTTGCATCTTACATAAGCAAACTGTGATTCTATTGGGTAATTATTCAATTTAATTAATTAACTAGATTTAGAAATTATCATACAAATAAATTGAATTACTACTTGTACTGTTAAACATGTTCAAGTTATTATAGAGTCTATATCTATATATTTAGCTGCGATTCTTTTAAATTGCGACTAACCTGACTGACTTGTTCACTGGCAGGGAATATGTTTATGGTCATTGATGATGAAGTCTTCTTCTGGTTTTTCTTTCTTTCGTTTTCTCGCCAGACAAATTCAATATGCGGTATATTAAATCGCGCAGCAATGCTTGCAACTATCCTACTAGTATACCGACTTGAAGGCCCGAAAATAGCTGCCACACCTTCCTCAAGAAGTTGACAAGCTATATAGAAAATAATACAATGTCGAATAAATAAATCAATAAATATGTTTAAAATTAGAATAATTGTGTAATGTAAAACCTTCTTCATAAATCTAGTTTTTTTTTTCAATTTCCTTGCATATTTCTCTAAAAAGGAAACTTAAAAAAAGAATAATTCTCTTGTTCTTTTTTCAATTATAAGCATATCTCAAATTTAATACATATGTACATGAAATTGGCTCCCAATTTTTGAAAAAATTAACTTTCTATAACTCATTCGATTGCTCATTGTTCGCATATGTATACACATTTCGAATTTTTGTTTGCATATTTCTATGCTACCCGGGAAAAAATGTTTCATATATAATTATATATAATTATATGAAATTAGAAACAGAAACCGACCGAATTACTGTAATAACATAATATAAGGACTGTCCAAGAAAAAAACCTTCCCACACAAAAACTCACATATCCTCCAAACCATTTAAAAAAAAAACAATTTTTTAATTTAGTAGGCTTTGCAATGAATGTAAGAAACGATTGAAACAGTTAGTTTCGTAATCGCTTTATTCTCAGTTGCAAAATGGCAAGTGAAGTAGAAACACGCAAATCCATAATCAAAATTTTTCAAGAACACCCGGAGTGGAGTTTCATCAAAATCGCGCGGGAGGCGGGAGTTTGCAGGAAAACAGTATCAATAGTCATTAGGCGTTTCAAGAAAGACTTGACTATCAACCGTAAAGAAGAATCTGGAAGGAAAAAGGGTTTTCAGAGTCCAAAAACAGCGAAGAAAGAGGGCATCCGAGGAAATGACCGAGACCACCATAAAAAGTATGATGGAGAGGATTCCAGAAAAAATTAAAAATTTTTGTCAAAAGTAATTTTTAAGAATTTTTTTAAATATAGTTTTAATTGTAATTAAAAGACGTTTCTAAAATGAGTTTGCTTTTGAAAATCGGTCAAGTGGTTTGGAGGATATGTGAATTTTTGTGTAGGAAGGTTTTTTCTTGAACAATCCTTAGTAAAGAACGTCTTTAGGATCGGTCAAAGTTGAAAGTTTCGAATTAGGTTGGGAAAAAAGTTTTTTCGTATTTTTTAATTCAAAATTGTATATATACAATATCTTCAAAAATGAATTAAATTTAAAAAAAGAATTTTAAAGCTTAAAATCTCTACTTTCGAAAGGTTACTATATTTTTTGAGTTTCTGTGAGTTTGGTAATTTTTACATTTAAAAAACTACGAGCTGAAAAGATGAAAAATTTTCTTTTCACTTTGAGGGTCTCTCATATGCCCAAAAAAAAATTTACAAAAATTTCGACTACCTATCGTGAAAGCTTGAAACTTCCCCTACAAAATCATTTTTTTAAAATGTTCCTATAATTTTTTATTTCTGAGTTATTCGTAAGTTAAGTAAAAGAGCATTCTGATTTCGATTGCTCATAACTCCGATAAAAATCATCATACCACAATTTAAAAAACAGATTCTTAAAGCTTAAATTTTGCTCTAGCGAGTGATACAATTGTAACGAAAATTTTGCAAATAAAAAACTTTTGCAAAAAAGTTT